ACTTTTAGTCATATGCCTCCGTTAAATGATTAACTGAGGCAGGTGATTTAAGTAGCCCGACTCCGTTAAGTGATTAACCGAGGCGGCCGGCTTAAGGCACTCGCCTCAGTTAAGTTCGATTAACCGAGGCGGTTGTTTTGAGGTGACCGTCTCGGTTATTAGATTAATGGAGGTGGTTGCGTTATGATGTCCGCCTCCGTTAAGACTTAACCGAGGCAGGCGCTTGGCCGGCGGCCCTGCCACAGATTAACGGAGGCGACCGTCCATCCCGCCCGCTTGGGAAATTGCCAGCCTCGTAAAAGATTTTAAGTAGTAGTGCTCCTAGTGAGGCCTACCTGATCGGCGGGATCAAATTAAAACCCCTGGCACTAATCCCACATTCCCACCTTAGCTGAGTTCCCCCTTGTCCAAGTTGGGTTGTGGAACTCGGTAGCCTTTGCACTCGTTTAGGTGTCCACTTGGCCAAGTATCATGTGTTATAATACATGGGAGGTGAGGATTAGCCTGGTATAGATATTCGTCAGTTTTATACACCGTTTACTCTCAACTATCACCTGAATGAGCGTTGCATTATTGATTACACATGAAACATGGTCTTTAATGCAAAATGGTTTATGGTTTGTGCCATATTCTTTCTTTTCTCTTCTTCCCAAATCAACAAACGAAGTAGTTCAACCGAGTGATGGACGAGCTAGGCATTAGAACACTTGGAGAGAAGGGGTGGGGATTCTTGCCATCAAGGATAGGTAGGGTGGCCACCCTACCTAGCTTTATTGGTGGGTCCAACACAGTTGGATCTAATCTAGTTGACACGTTTCTTGTATTTTTATCCCAAAATATAACATAATGTGCCATGTTTCTTTTGTTGTCATCATATTAAAATGAAAATTGTATTGTAATGTCATGATTAGTGTGCCAGATAATCAAATCTAATTAGAGATTTGGAGCAGAACTCAGCGGACTGATTCTCTACCACAATTTCTTATCAATTTATCCTATTCTATATTCTCTTCCAACAAAATATTAGGATTTCTAGATTAAGGACGAAGAGAAATAACTATAATTCCCTCAATAAAGCACCAAGATTAAAATAACATCATTAATTACTGCCTATTCAGCTAACCAATGCCCCTCAATCAAGCACCTAGATTATAATTGCACAATTAGTGCCTCCCTATTTAGTGAACCCATGCACCTTTACCAATCACCAAAGTTACGATGACACAACTAAATTTTCCTAATCAATTGATACCTCTAAATGTAGCACCAATATGTCTTAATAGTTTGGGATGAATTTTAAAGGTAGAAGTCCTTTTTTATATTGGCACAAACAAGTAGAAAGATAATTATGGATGGCCTATTAACTGAGGGTAATAAGTCATATCCTTTGATCAAACTAACCAAACAGACAGTCCCCATTTATCATCTGGGAGAATACCATATCACGAACCATTGAAGATACAAGTTACAATGGTCATGCTTTCATCGATTTTATTTAACTAGAGGATGTATCTTCATTCAATTTCAAGAACAACCGCCTCTCCAGAAACCGTTTTTGTAGCAGTGATGTCCATGCACTTCATCAGCATCGTTGCAACCATGACCTAGTAGATAATCATGATTTAAAGATCGATCAATTTCTTAGCTTCTTCTACACTTGCATGTTGCATCGGACTAGTATGAAAATAAGAACCATGAACACACATAATTTTACCTTAGCATATCATGGAGCAAGAGGTGAAGGTTATCTGCAATATGTTGCCAAATATAGCATCGTTCTTGCATCGTATTGCCGCTTCTCTGTGCGTGTAAGTCGATCGACGATACACTTCATCCTTCCCACACCGAGGCTCTGTGCTATTATCACGGCCGCACAACAGACATCAGTTTTAGGTGGGAGTCTACGGGGGTTTGATGCCATGATGTAGGGCCCACATACATGCAAGATGTAGTTCTTTTCTTCATTTGTACATTTCTTACCCGGCCATCCACTAGTCACAGCACTCTCAAGAGAAATCACTGTGAACACTAGGAGAACAGCTACTTTCTTAGGTAACATCTTTGCTAATAGTATAATTTAGCAAGTGCTAACCAAATGAGTGAACGAACAAGGCCCTAAGCCCTAATAATCCTGAGGTTATGTTTAGAACCGTGGCCTACATGCTCCTATATATAGGGTAAAGCACATGGTGATAGTCTACACAGGCTTCATGCTTTGAATGCTTGATGAGCCTTTGATCAGAGACATTGTGGAAGATAGATACCCTATGGTGCAACCAAGATATTGTATATTAATTATGAATAGAGATACGTAGAGATATTCAATGCCTATTTAATATTGAAGATATCCATTTTTAGTTTCACAGAATCCTCTTATTAGATGCAAGAGAAATAAATGAGAGGGTCCCTCTAGCTATTTGTTGACTGATATTATGGCATATCATCTATCAAATTATATATCAATATTATGGTACCTCTGCCTGTTAACATGCCCTCTATTTTTTTCTTCACATGTCACATTAGCTTTGGCCAAAGTGATACTGTTGGTATATTGGTACTCAGGTACCTCGCCTCATAGAAATTAAAATATCCCAAATGGGATGAGACATAACAAGCAGCCAATCTGAGAGGCCCAAGCAGGACAAGGTACCTCATCTACTTGGTGGATAAAGCATAGCAAGATGTACTTAGAAACCAACTCTATCTGACTAGTTTTTTGTAACAAACTAAGAAACCCATATGTAAACAGATTATGACTCTAGATGTACCCCTACCTCTGAACTATGTATATAAGGAGGGGTAGGGAGCCCCTGATCAGTCACCTGATCATACCTTAGCATACCTTGAAGCAATTCACTTCTATATAGCTAGACAAATTCATTAGTCCCCTATAAACCCGAGCATACAAGATAATAGATCAATTCTCTATTGGATGTAGGGTACACCTTGCTTGAACTAGTATATGTATTGTGTGATGTGCTACCCATCTGATTCCCTGCGCTTGAAACATTAATCTACATTGTTAATGATAATTCCCATGAAAGTTCGTGTGCTAACTAGGCGAACTTCGTGGGAATTTCTTCAACAATGGCATCGTCGATTTTCACTCCGAGTGAGGCACCACCTTCAACCGCCGGAACTACATCATCATCGTCCAGCAATGGCCCTCATCTCGACAGCACGCTATGGCCCTCGTCGATCCTCCTCTTCCCGTGGCAGCTCTTGTCGATAGTCTGTTGTGGACCTCATCATTATTTGTGGTGCTCCTCGACATCCCTTGTCGACAATCTAAAGTTTGTCATCGACACATCATTCCTTGTTGACAAAGCCAAGTTCATCGTCATCGACATCTTCCCATGGAAGCCCTCATCAGCAACCTGCCATGGTTCTCGTCGTCCCATTGTGACCCTCATCATCATCAAGCGGCAACCCTCGTGGTTCCATGATGGTCCTCGTTAATAGCTCAGAGTTCTTCATTGACTCATTGTCTCTTATTGATGGCTCGGAGTTCATCATTGACTCGTTGTTTCTCGTCGATAACCCAAAGTTTGCCGTCAACTTGTCATCCCTCATCAATAACCTAGGGTTCATCGTCAACTTGTCGTCTCTCATTGATGGCACGAAAATCATTGTTGCCTCGTTGTCTCTCATCGATGGCATAGAGATCATCGTCCTCTCTCATCGACGGTGCAGAGATCATCATTGCCTCATCATTTCATCAATATGGCATGGAGATCGTCATTGCCTCATCATCTCTTGTGGATAGCGTCGAGATCATCATCATGTGTCATCTCTCGTTGACAGTGCAGAAATCATCGTCGCCTTATCGATCCTCATTTTCCCACGATAGCCCTCGTCGGCAGCTAGACATGGCCCTCATCAACCCTCGTTTTCCTACGATAACCCTCATCAACAGCCTGCCACAACCCTCATTGTTGTTTCATAGCGACTCTCATTGTCAACCTGTTGCGGCACTCATTGTTCTTCGTCGGCCCTCCTCAACACCACGGAGTTCGTCGTCGACTCATCGACAACATGGAATTCATCTTCGACTCGTTGTCACTCATTGACACCATGTAGTTCGTTGTCTACTCATCGTCCCAATTGTCAGACTCATCAAACTTGTAGTATTTCTCCTCATCTGTCAAGAAACACCTAATGGCCATCATTGCTTCTATTACCTATACAACATAAATCTCACCAATGTTTGCTGCACCTTTTGTAAATGTCAAAACAAAAAACACAGAACCTTGTCACCCTCCTTGGCCTCGTCGCGACACATGGTGAGAAGCCTTGTAGCATGGCATGTTCGGCGTGCTTGGCGGTGGCCATGGGGAATTGGATGGCAAGGAGGAAGTGGATCACACTCTGTAGTGGGCTTGGAGTGGTGCGAGATATGTCGCGGCACGGGTAGCAGAGATCTAGGTAGAGCCGACCATCGCGTAATGGTTGGTGGCAGCAGGAGGCAAGCACCAGTGCCGAAGCTGCTATAGATAGTGGCGCTGAGGATGTCTTGGGGTCGTGTGGGGGAGTGCATGAGAAAGAGTAGTAGGTTTGGCACGCCATCGGCGTGGGGAGGAGGAGCGGGATCTTGTTGATTGGGGAGGGCGGCCGTGGGTTGTGTGAGGGGAGGGGATGGATGGGGATGATAGGGATTAGCTAACCAATGGATGGATGAAGGGGCGACGAACAAAGCCACGACAGACGAAGGTAAGTGTGGAAGTCTCCTTTTTGTTCTTCATAGAGATTAGGTCAAGGACATGCAATGATTTTTTTCTACTATTGCAATGTACGGGTATATTTGCTAGTTTAACCAAATTAAAATCCCACTTATTATTTAGGATTATACCATGCTAGGAACAATACAAGTTACAGTAATGGTCATGCTTTGATCGATTTTATTAATCAATTAGCGGATGTATCAACATTCGATTTCAATTAGAACCGCCTCTCTAGAAATCTTTCTGTAGTAGTGATGACCATGCACTTCGTCAGCATCGTTACACCATGACCTGGTAAGGATTAAGGAAACATGATTTAATGAATGACCAATTTCTTAGCTTCTCCTACACTTGCATGTTGTGTGGGACTACTATGAAAAGAATCATGAACAACATGATTTTTACCTCAGCAGATGGAAGAGCAAAAGATGAACATTGTGTGCAATATCTTTTCAAGTATATCATCACTGTTGCATTGTATTGCCCGCTCTCTGCGTGTGTAAGTCGATCGATGACACACTGCATCATCCCCTCGCCGTGGCTCTGCAATGTTCTCATGGCCGCACAACACGGATCATTTTTAAGTGGCAGTCTACGGGTGTCTGATGCCATGATGTAGGGCCCACATACTTGCAAGATGTAGTTCTTTTGTTTATCTATGCATGTCTTACCGCAACATCCACTAGTCACAGTGTCAAGAGAAGAAATTGCTGTGATCACTACTAGAAAGAGAATAGCTACTTTCTTAGGTAACATCTCAGTGCTAATAGTGTAATTAAGCAGGTGCTGACCAAATGGGTACGGTGAATGAACAAAGCCCTAAGCCTGATGCTCTGTATAGAACAATGGCCTAGCTACGAGCTCCTTTTTATAGGTAAGGCAAGTGATCATAGTCTACAAGGGATTTCATGCATTGATGCTTGATGAACCTTTAATCAAACATTGTGAAAGATAGATACCCTATGGTGCAACCAAGATATTGTATGATCAATTATGAATAGAGATCCCTCGAGGTATTCGATGCCTATTTAATATTGAATATATCCATTTTTATTTTTACAAAATTCTTGGATGCAAAAGAGAGTAAATAAGGGATCCCTCTATCTATCTGTAGACTGATATTTTGGCACACAATCTATCGAATTATGAACCATATAGCATGCCCCCTCTACCTAGGTATTAATACAAAATTGGCAACTAGATCAAAAAGCAACTAGAAGCCCATCAAAAGCACATAATACTCCAAATCTGAATCAAATCCATAACTTAGGAAGGAGCCTGATCAGTTGAAATCCTAGGTCCAACGCACAACAAAAACATTAAGCAAAGCCTAAGAACAAAAGACTAGCTAGGACGTGAACATTATAATAACTAGGATATGCGCAACGCGTTCTATTTTTTCTCAAACAACGCAAGAGGTAAAAATTGTTGTTTCTATAGTAGGTTCTATTGCATCTAGATTCAGATGTTGTGAAATGGAAAAACAAACATACGGAGAGAAAACACAAGGGATTAGTAAATGATAATGATACCCTCAAGGCGTCCGGAGACGGACGCAACGCTTCCCGGGCCTGCGCGCTACCGGCCCAACAGCGCCTGCTCTCTACGTCTCCTCCATCTCTCTCAAAAATATCTTCTCCACTCCCCACCGAGGGTCATCCTCTCCACTCCACTCATTCCATAGCCAGCAGCACACTGCTTAGCATCCCTACTCACGCACGCGATTCACAATGCCGTGGGTGGGCCCCACACCTTCCTCCCAATCACGTGGCCTCATGGGTCAACTCTGACAGTTTGTGGTGCTCACAAGACCGCACACAGTTGTGCTCGCTCGCCCCACGCTGGGTCCACACCACGCCACCACAAAGTGCTCGCCCTACCCCTGCCGCTTGGGGGTGCTCATTGCCTGCAGGGTGGTGCTCTCGCCCATGGCAAAGGCTTGTAACAACCCAAAAATCCACACACCAAAAATCACAACTATAAAATTTTTTCTTAAAACTCCCATGTGATGATGAGTGACATTGTAGGAGCCAACCCTAAGAGTTGCATTAGAAGTAACCCAACCTAAGTCAACACATAAGCATGGCATATCATTTGTTGATTATGATTATTAAATTTCCAACAAATAACATATTGCATACAATGTTAACTTAAATTATGATTTGGGTTTTCATTTGCTTTATGCTATGATTGACAATTCCATTTAAATAATAAATCATAAAGTTATTATTAAACAAAATTCCCTAAACTCCAATAAATAAGTTACCTTTTTTTGAATTCAAATTCTAAACCAAATTTGAATTCAAACAAATGGAAAAAGAAATGAAAATAGAAAAGGAAGAAGGCCTCCTGTACCAACCGCTGGCCCAACCTGCTTTACCCCGTGCCGACCGGCCGACCTCGGCCGCACAAGACGTGGCCCTAGCAAGCCGGGCCCAGAGGGCCGCTCACGCCTGATGCACTGTCACCCTGCCCAATGTCAGCCGCCACCTTGCCTTTGCCTCACAGGACCGTCTGCGGCGCCGTCACCTTATCATTATCCATTTTCGCCACGTACCACGCCAACGGACCTCGCTCGCTGCTACATCGTGCATCTTCTCCATGCCCATGAATCTCTCCTCCGATAGAACACCGACAACGGTGGCGGGCGGGCAGGGGTCATGCAGGGCAAGGTCCTGTCTCCCCTTGGCGCCGTGCCCACGCAACCCTCGTGGCCGTGGGATGCAAGCAAGCGCGCGATTGCCCTTGATCCTCGTCTCGCCGATCACCGAGCTCCATGGCGAAGCTCGGCTATAAAGGCCACGGTCCTCGGAGCCCTAGCGCCGTCCGTTGCTCGCCGCCACCTCGGTGGCCATCCACTACGCACCCAAACCTAGAGAGAAGAGGGAGAAGAGGAAGAAGGGGGAAAGAACGCCAAGCCGCCGTGGGGAGGAGATCGCCAGAGCCGGGGAGCGACGCCTGCGGCCACATCACCGACGCTGGTCGGCACGCAGATCGCATGGCTTCGGAGCTACACGGCCTCGAATTGACATTGCACCGCCATCCTATCTCCCACAACACCTACGGTGAGCCTTCCGATCCTCTCTCGCCGAACCTCACCGCGGCCATGGCGCCCACACTGGAAGCACGAGGCTGGGCCATCTCCGCCCTGGGAACACCCGCACTCCACACGCACACCCGCGACCACGCCATGACCGCCTTCTACCAGAGCCCCCTGTGGTGCACCCGCGCACTGCACGCCAGACTCACGATGCCGCCGTCAGATTGCAGGCACCATCATTGGCACACACGGGCCGCATCGCCGGACTAGAACACAGCCAGAGGATCATCGTGACGCCTAGAGGTTAGCCGCCAGAGACCGAGACCCCAGAGGCCGCCACGGCGCCGACGACCACGAGCACCGGACTCGGCCAGAGCTTCGCCGTGAACCGCCACCGCGCCGCCAATCGGAGCCATCCAACCACCTCGCTTAGCTTCACTGTGGCACCCGCCATGGTAAGGCCGAAAGCTGTGTCCCACCTTAGTTGAACACCCAGATGGCCGAAAGGGGCTCGCCGACGAAAGCACCTCCACGGCGAAAGCCACCGACCATTGTGGCCAAAGTGAAGGAAGCCCTAGCAATCACCTAGACCCCCCACCGTGTGTTCGCCAAGGCTCGCCAAGCCTTTCCCCCACCTCTATTGGACGCCAAAGATCATTGGCAAGGCTCACCTCGGCGCCGCCACGGTGGGAGTACGCCGGGAGAGGAAGCAGGGGAAACTCCCCTTGCCGGCCACATGCCCATGCACCCGGTGCACGTGGACCATAGAGAGAGAGGAGAGGGATGGACTTGGTCCACCATGGACCCTGCCTTAGGTCCATGGACCGTGAACTTGCGTCCACCGTGGACCACGCCTGTGGACCACAGCCCGATGCAGGGCCCATGGCGTGACGTGGTCGCTGTGCCACATCCTCGCCACGCGTTCCGGCCCGCCTGCATCGGCCCTACCCGAAGCCCAACCAGCCCGATTGAGACCCAGCCCGTATTGACCATTGACCGGTCAATGTTGACCATTGACCTGGCCCCACATGTCAGCGACACAGTGTTGCTGGACCCACACGTCAGACAATGACGTCATGCTGGCGTCGTGATGACGTCACGCGGGACCCACACGTCAGGAACCTACACGGCCGTGGTGACGTCATGCCGACGTCCACGCCGACATCACCGCCGACGTCGCGACAGCCTCGCCCCACACGTCGAGTGACCTCGACTGCTGACCGAAGACCATTGACCTGTTAACTCACCGTTGACTTTGGATCGACCCACCTGCCGCTGACTCAATAGCCCTCGTCCCACACGCCGGTGAGCATGACATTGATGACGCTGCATGTCGACATCAGCCAGACCCTCACCATCATTTCGGAACCGTGATGCGTGACGCTGGCGTCGACGCCAGCAAGCCCACGGACCAACCACAGCGTGACACGTGTCGCCCGTGGATTAATTCAGCCTTTTTCATTTTCGTAAATGGACTTAATCTTCTAAATTCATAACTAATTCATACGACCTTGGAAAAATACGAAACCGGGACCAAAATTCATCTAAAATCGAGCTCACGCAATGGACCCATGTTTGAGTGCATTTGGCTCTTTTGAATTTTCATTGCTTCTTTGTGTTATTTCTATAGAAGGCGCCATTAACTTTGACTATAATGCTGATCGCTTGCGCACTCAGAGGAAAACCGGATGGACGAGGATCGTGAGTACCGTGAGGAGTACGGAGACGACTACACTGAAGGTGCCACATCCCACCCAATCTCGTAGCACCTATTACGCATGGCTAATATAGAAATGCTAGCGCTTACTTTATTGTCATGATCACATTATGGTAGGACTTGCATGGTAGTATGCTTTCTTGATGGCCTTTACCTTGACGCAACCTTACCCCTGCTCACCCTGTTGTTAGGCTAGTCACACGCTTGCTAATATATTTCATTGCTTACTACTTCTACTACGCTTGCACTATATGGAGGCGTGGTGGAAGCGGTGTTATCTCGGACCATGGGGGGAGAGTCTTTGCGTGTGTGACTTGGGTGCATGGAGGGTGAGGGTTGAGTCGACCAAGTTGGAGTATACGACAAGCCTGGGGCAAGTCATGCCGTGGGGTGCTACCTAGGCACCCCTAGGATGGATACCTGTGGTGGGTAAATGATATAAGAGGTGGCCTTGGGTGTGATCCCGTGATGGGAGGAGCCCGGGTGGAGGTGTTTGTGGTGGTACGGCAGAATGGAAACCCCGATGAAGACATTCTGCTTGGTCATCCCTAAGGACTTACTAGTACTCGATTCATTGGGAAGCCTTACGCACCACTCGCCCTATATGGTGGTGGACGGCTAGGACTACTTGGTAGGATATTGCCATTATCGCTAGGTTGTTAGCGGACAAGGTAAGGAGGCACTTAAAAGTGAGGATTTCCCCACACCTTCCAAGACTTCATGGAGACCTTGTGGACTCGGCTCATGACTCACAGGGCCACCACCCTGCACGGGACTTGGGGTGTACTAGGGTGAATGGTAGAGTGGTATTATCCTAGGCTAGCAAGCGGACGGAATCAGCCTAGTTGACGATGG